CCATTCTCTCCACCACTCGTAGAGTGCGATACCACCTGCGGTTTGAACGTCTGTTATGAATATTAGTGTGTGAGTCTTGACGTGAGTTACAAGATCGAGACTTACTCAAACTTCTGGTAACTCCCACAGTTTTGATTTCGACGTTGCGATCGATGATAGCCAGCACCTCCGCGGAGATACCTTCCTTCTCACTACCTAGCACAAGACAGCACTTCTTGGGTAGTGTACCAATGTCCTGGCTTCTGGCCTCTTTCCTAATCATCCCTTCATCCACAACATCATTCTTACCATCCTCAGTCCCCAATATGCCACTGCGATCCGTCTGCTCAATACCCACAACCTCGTACCCCTTACTCTTTGCATCGAGTAAGAACGCCGGTACGCCAACCTCCTTCAATTCGTTGATAGCAAGATGTTTCTCTGATCGCACGCTGGTAGCCTTGAAGTCCTTGTGCGCGACCTTCTTGAGATCGTCGATGTAAAGGGCTTCGAGACCGAAAGATTCGGATATGCGGGAGAGACCGCCGAGGTTGGTGGGGTTGTCGATGAGAGAGGCAACGAGCATGACGGATGCGGGACGGGCATTTTGCATGCTGGGTGGGTCTCCAGGTGGGTGAAGGTTGTCCAGGTCGATGCCAGCTTTGGTTTGGAGGGTGATTTGGCCGGTCGGCTCTGTGGTGGTGGTGGTGGGTACTGGGGCAGTTGTAGCTGGTGTAATGACGTCAAAGCTGGGTTTGATCTTGTTCCCAAGTGCTATGCGTGCAGGTGGCGGGTTGAAACCATCCGACTGATCATCACGCTCGAGAGCCTCGAAGTCTTCATGCGTGACGAGCTCTGGTTCCGGTGTCTCGATCGACAGGTATCGGCCTTGGAAGATGCCTGTAAGGGTAAAATCCTGTTCAATATCGACCTTCAGGGTTCTTATCGTCCAGGGAGAAGCGTTGAACTTGTCCAGCCGGCGGATGAAAGCGTTCATGCCTACAAAAGCGGGATTCTCGGTAATCCTCCTCCAGCCCTTCTCAACAGCTATGTCAAACACGATGGGAAACGCAAAGTTTGCTTCGTGGCGGATCTGGACTTTGGGGCTGGCAGAGTAGGAGTTCAGGTGTGTGATGAGCTCTACTGCAAAGTCTTGGGTTTCGTATGGCGCGACTAGAAGACCAATCTTGATCAGACTGGCGATGTGAATCGGGCTATATTCTTCCAGATTTCCTAGCTCTATCAAGAGACGCGAAGAAAATTCCGGGAACCGACGGTAAATGCGAGCTATGGCCCATTCGAGCAGGTAGCGGTATCGTGGCCATGATTCTACCACTAAGGCACGAGTGAAACAATCGAGATGACTCTCCACCACTATGTCATCCGCACAGTAGTGACTCATCAATAGCATTGCCTGCAGTTGAAAAGTGTTCTTCCATGGACATTTGACTGCGACTGGTGGTTTCTGATTCCCCCAGGGAAGTTCCAACTCATCCAGTATATTCTGAGCAGTCTCTGGATTTGAGATATATGGGTCATTCGGAATGCGATGTAGGATATCTATGACAGCTGCGTATGCATGCCATTCTCGCATACCGTAGTACGATGCATATGTTCGATGCGGCAGGTATTGCTGAAGCTTGTCGGCGGCGACAACCTCAAACAAAAACTCTGTTCCGATGGATGCTGGATTATTGATGAAGTCAAGAATGTAGTCGTCGAAGGGGAGGCCTCCCCGGTGTGCTCTGATTGCACTTGGGTGTGCAAACACAGCTTTGCGTAGCGATCGAGCAAGTACTGCAAGAATGTAGGACCGTCCCTTGGATAGCTTCATAAGTCGTTTCATGGCTACCGATAGCAGAGTATTAATGTCGCACCAATTAGGAAAGTGATTCAAACCCTCCTCAACACTGACATATACGCATTTCGGATGGAATAGTAGGGAAGGTAGTTGTATAGCAAATGGTCTGATGAAGTCGCGAATCTCAGCCTCTTCCCACAACGCTGCCAACACGGTGTGCAAGTCGTCTGGGTCGATATCGGCTGGTTCAGTACGATCCAGGAGCTCAATCACGCTCTTGCAAGCGGGCGCGAAGGCTGAACCTTGTATACAGCTATGCTTCGATTCGCGGAGGTCTTTGATGAAAGACCGAAAAGTGGGTAGCCCGCCATCTCTGGTGCCAAAGGTCGATTGAAGCGCCGACTGATCCACTGGATCTTCCAACTTTTGGCATTTGGCTCGCAGGACTTCGCTAGTTGGTACGCCTTTCGACTGTAGATCAGGATCAAGAAGATCGCAGAGCCTTTGACAGTGAATGCTGTGTAAGTCGCTTGCTACCTCAGGCAACCCAGGCAAGCGTGACAAGCTGAGGATCTCGGTAATCTCCGACATCTCCAGCTTGTGATGCGGTGGACCTCGCGCGTATCGCGTCTCCAGGCCTTTAACGAGGCCATGCATCAGGTACAGTATTGCTGGTTGGAACATCCTCCCGCCGGCGTTCAGGACGTAACGAACGATACCAAGTACGATTGCACGGCCACTTCGGTTGTCCGCTCCCACTTCTGAGACGGCAAAGTCGACCGAAGGGATAAAAGATGGGCTTTCTTCTGTATCGGATACAAAGCGAGAGACGACTGCAGCAAGTGCGTCTCCATGAGCGCACGTTGTCGATGATCGTGTGGCAGTAAGAGTCGATGTGAAGAGACTACCATCCGTTGCCCAAGGTAGAAATCCCTCGAATAGGAAGTTTATGTGGCCGCTCAAGTCGCCCCGGCGCTGCCATGTCAAAGTTAGCATCGGTATACTCGGCCTCTAGTAGGCCATGGCTTTCGCCCTGAACTATTGTCTTGTTGCGTAGATAGTACAATAACGATGATAACGATATCGTCTATGACGATGAAAGACATGTAACTTACTTCGATAACAAAGTCCATATACCAGCGGCCGATCATCTTCCTAACGCTCTCCTGTATCAGCGGGTTCAACGCTGCGGTGAGTAGAGTTGTCGTCATGGCGGGAGTAATTCGGGAAGGATTTGTTACTGAAGAAGAGCCAAGAAGCGTCGTCATAGATTTCAGGCAGTCCTCGACCTGGCCAGAATATCGATGAAGCACGATGGTCTCGAATAGGGTCGTATATAGATCGTACTGCTCCCGGTCCTTGCCACTAGCATCGTATCTCATCGTAGGTGTATCGATATGGTCAGAAGTGGCAAGAAAAGACTGGCGGATGATACCGAGGCAGTATTTGCGTTGATCCGCATGGCCTTTGACAAGACCTAACCTGAGCTTTCTCCAGTATTCTTCGTTGCCCACACATGTGAATTTGAGCCCAGCGGAAGCGGCGAGCGATGTCCATTGGAACCAGGTCCTGTATATCTTGCTAGACCGAGCGGCGAAACATGCCATGTCGAGTGCGTTAAGATGGTTCCATATTGATTGATCAACGACTGCATCGAGATTGGTGGGTGAGTTCTCTCTCTTGCTTTTCAGCAATGAAAAGAAAGCGGACAGCGTATCATGTGCAGTATCATCTAGCCCTTCGACGCCGACAAAGCTCGAAAGGAGAGTGAGAGATTGCGAGTCGACCATGTACGAAGACGCGGCCGGTACCCAAAAGGAGCATTTCAGGAATTCGAGATAGGCTCTTGCAGTTTCGATGTTTTCCCCATGTGCTTGTTCAGCCGATAGATCCGTGGCTAGGGTGGAAAGGCTTTGCTTGATTTTGGAATTGAGAAGAGATGCGGCATGCGAGTCGTGGGTGTAGCATATCTCAGCAATCTCGTAGAGGCTCTCCGGTGACCTTTGGTCGACTAGACGGTCCAACACGGTATTCCATAGTTCCTCATGCTGCGAAGTACTTCCACCTTCTACATGGGCGCTTCCGCTGGGCAACAGTCGCACGCAAATATCGAGCGCGCCGCTGTCGATTCCCCGTGCAGCTCTTAATTTCGCCAGGCTACCATCAAACGCTACTTGTCGGGTATGTTCGTCCAAGAGACTTAGTACTGCAGCGGTGGCCATGTCTGGCGACGGCAAGTAAATCTTGCGCGGGCGTGATAGGCCTTGTCGGTAGTGTGCCCCTCAAGCGAGGTGTCGACAGGCCGCCGAAGGTATCCTGGTTTTAAATTCGACCGCTGGATGCCTGTTCTCATTAAATGAGTGAAGGTAAGCAGGTTGCATGCGAGTAGATCTTAGGTTGAATGAACTTTTGTAATTGCATGGTTAGAGTTCACGTCGCAGGGTCGACACCAGTCACATTTTGCGCCCGCCTCAGATGGAAAATTTAGTCGCTACTGCGATGCACCGCCGGCCGAAACTGCGATACTGACAACATCAGTCTAACAACGTATCGAAACGAAGAAGGAGCCGTGTAAGATTGCGATGGGCAATAGATTAATGTCTCGTGTCGACGAGAGAACGCGACTTGAATTGGAGCATGTTGAGTGGAAGGCGCTGGGACGAAAGACGTCATTGCTGACTGCAAGGTATCCGACTGAGAGTCCTTGATCCTTCACCGGTTGCTCATGCCAGAGCAGCACTGCATGCGTCTAGACAGCTTCACCGTCTATTGATGCCATGGACAGGTCAGCTAGCTCTTGCTTTTGGCCAGGTCGTCCTGTCGCGTCGTGTTGGGAGACGAGGGCTGCTGTGGGTACTCGTCAGTGTGTACCTGGAGACAGATCCAAGCTGATCCGACCACACAGTATCTCCCCAGCAGATCTCGGAAGCTATTAGACATCCCCTTTGGTCTGGTCGCGTCGCGCTGTGATGGCGCGCGCGGCAGTGGGGTGCTTGGTAGTGACGTGTTATCGATCGCACACGGCAACCGCGTGTTGACACGGCCCAAACAATGGCCTACGAGTCATGGGCAGAGCGATCCGTGCTCCACCTCAACACCGCCTATGCACCTGCTGTACATTCACCGGTCGCAACAGCTCTTGGATTCTTGCTACCTCATACTAGACGGTATCTTGGACTACAGAATGTATCCTCTACACACAACCGCCTCTGCGCCGTCTATGCGCGCATCCGACGCATCGTATCTTCAGGCGCTCTCATCACCCGCGCCCATGAACGACGATCCCGGCAATGTCAAGGTGGTGGTGCGATGTAGGGCCTTTGTGCCGAGAGGTAGGATATCAGTACTCAATTGATACTTACAGACACTAATAAGGGCTATAGAGAAAGAGAAGGGCACGAAATGCCTAATCCGCATGGACCCAGCCACACAAAAGACCACACTCTATGCGCCGGAAGAGAGCGGGAACAGTGGGCGCCGTGTTCTGGACGACAAGGAGTTCACATTCGATCGCTCATACTGGTCGCACGACGAGTCCGACCCGCACTACGCCCACCAAGAAGACGTCTACCGCTCTTTCGGTGAGGAGTTCCTCGACCACAACTTCGGAGGATACCACACATGCATTTTCGCATACGGTCAGACGGGGTCGGGAAAGAGTTACACCATGATGGGCACCCCAGACAACCCAGGATTGATCCCGCGAACTTGTGAAGAGCTGTTCGATCGCATCGCACATGAACCGTCGCCCAACACCAACTACCACGTCCAAGTCTCTTACTTCGAAGTCTACAACGAGCACGTACGGGATCTGCTCACCCCGCGGACGACCCCACCCATCTACCTCAAGATCCGCGAGAGCCAGAAAGATGGTGTATACGTGCAGGGCCTGACGGAGGCCGAAGTCAAGAGCTACGCTGATGTTGCGCGCTTGATGAAAATTGGCGACATGGTACGCATACCGCCCATACCCCTTCAGACGACATACTAACAAAAGCACAGAGCCGGACGACAGCCTCCACCAAGATGAACGACACCTCGTCACGATCCCACGCCGTCTTCACTATCCGCCTCAAGCAAATCACCCACTCGCTTCTCTCCGATGAGACCATCGAACGCACAGCACGCATGCGCCTCGTCGACCTCGCTGGCTCCGAACGTGCCAAGTCGACAGAAGCTACAGGAGCTCGCTTGAAGGAGGGAGGGCAAATCAATAAATCTCTCACTACACTTGGTCGCGTCATTGCTGCACTGGCCGACCCAAGGCGACACGGTGCGAAGGGACGACGACCACGAGAGGTTGTGCCGTACCGTGATTCAGTCTTGACCTGGCTGTTAAAGGACTCGTTGGGTGGTAACAGCAAGACAGCCATGGTTGCTTGCATTGCGCCGGCCGACTATGATGAGACTCTTTCCACCCTACGCTACGCCGACCAGGCAAAGCGCATCCGCACACGTGCCTTGGTCAACCAGGACTGCATGTCGGCTGCACAGCGAGACGCTCAGATCGCAGAGATGTCAGAACAGATCCGCAGTCTACAAGTCTGTGTCAACGCCGCCAGCCAACGCAAGAGGGAGGAAGCCACCGAGCTAGACGAGTACCAGAGGCAGGTCGCACTCATGCAGCGCCTCATGGAGGAGAACCGTCAAGTGTCTGCTGCGAAGATCAAGGCGCTCACTTCCGAAGTCGAAGAGCTGCGTCCCACAAACGTAGCTTTGCGCGCAGAGATTGACTCGTTGCGCCGCCATCTCCAGCTCGCTCTAGGAGAGCTCAAGAACCCCATCGTCCTGCCACCGCCCCGGGAGCTTGGTACGCCAGACTTCGAGAATGAGTCATGGCTAGGCGAAGGCGAGGGTAAAGATGGATCGATCCCTGCTCCTGATGGTGAGGCCAGCGATGATGACTCTGATTCAGGCTATGATGAGGGTGACCACGATGAGTTGGCGCAGGAGTTGCACAATGAGGCAGAGGCCTTCCTCCAGGACCTGGGCATGTTCCGCAAGAAGGTCGGCAGCGATGTCGATCGCTTCGGTATCCGCGAGACACTGGCTGAGCTCATCGGAGGTCATTGAGCATCCTGATGTTGATTATGCGGCTTGGTTGGGAGGAAATCGGACTTCTAGGCGCACAGATTGGTTACGAATGCATGAGCGACGGCGTTTTCTTCAAGTTGGATTTGATAGTACCCAAGATTAGTATACCAGTATATAGTTACCAAGAAATGAAAGATATCCCATGAGTCTCGATGAGTTCTGCGGAGAGTGGACGTAAGTCGAACATGACATAATAACAGACGCTGAAGTACACTTTGCCATATCATGCTTAAAGTCACACAATTGGGAAACGAAGCATATGTTGGCTATATTTGGTTTTTGGGCGCCCTACCCAAAGGCAACCTTCGCAGGCGGTGCGACAGCCTGGGTGGCAGAGCTATGACCTCAACTCGAAGCTCCATCCAGGCACCCAAAGCCTCCGACAACTTCGCGCGATGATACCCCGATAGTCGCGCCCAACCATGTCCAAGCCAACAGCCAACTGGGAAAAGGTCGGCGACAAGTTTTACAGGAAGGTGCAGCTCTACCAGGCTGTCTTCGACGCGGACCTCGAGCTCGAGAACTACAATGTGGTGGGGGCGCCGTATAGCGGTGCTGTAGGTAGGTACGTCCCACCGTCTGCCGACGACTGCGCGAACATATGATCAGGCGCCTGACTTCTATAGCCGTCTACCGCGATGAAGAGAAGCTGCATACCTACCGTGGTCCCGGCGCGTCCAAATCGAGCATCGACATCTACAGCTGCGCGGGCAAGCTGATACGCAGCATCAACGTATGCAATCCTCTACACGTGCCGCGAGATGAAGGACGGAATACTGACAGGCGATAGTGGGACAAAGGCACAATCAAGGGCCTGGGATGGTCGGAAGACGAAAAGCTGCTGGTCATCACGTCGGACGGAACGGTGCGCTGCTACTACGACCTCCAAGGCGACTTCGTGCCCTTCACCCTCGGCCACGGCGCAGACGAATACGGTGTGTTATCCTGCAAATTCTACAACACGGGCTTTGTAGCGCTTCTCGGGAACAACCATCTCATCTCCGTCACCTCGTACGCCGAACCGCGCCCCAAACTCCTCGCGATACCGCCGACCGAACCCGTCATATCATGGAGCATCATACCACCTGCCTACTCGCTCTCACGATCGGTGGAAGTCATACTAGCAATTGGATCTACGCTGTATGTCGTCGATGCGACTGAGGCGGAAGATCGCAACTTCGATGCCGGTCCGTTCAGGCACATCAGCGTCAGTCCGCGCGCGGAATTCCTGGCCTTCTACACAGAGGATGGAAAGGTGTGGGTTGTCAGCGGCGACTGGAACGACAAGCTCAGCGAGTACGACAGCAAGATCAAGACAGTGCCAAAAGACATGGAATGGTGCGGCTCGAATGCTGTCGCATTAGCCTGGGAAGACGAAGTACACCTGATCGGTCCTCGAAGTGCCGCGACCAAATTCTACTACGACACCTGGGTGCATCTCTTGCCGGACGTCGATGGCATACGGCTCCTCACGAACGACGTCTGCGAATTCATACAAAAGGTGCCGGATGAGGCGGTGGATGTCTTCAGACTGGGCTCCGACTCGCCTGCTGCAAATCTGTTGGAAGCGTCTTCGCTCCTAGAACAGAAGAGCCCTAAGGCCGACGACCTCATACAGCTGATACGACCGAGTCTGGGAGAGGCGGTGGACACATGCATCAAGGCCGCTGCGCATGAGTACAACATCCACTGGCAAAAGTCGCTGCTGAAAGCGGCTTCATACGGAAAGTCAGTGCTGGACCTGTACTCGTCTGACGACTTTGTTGACACGTGCGACACACTACGAGTCCTGAACGCCGTGCGCTTCTATGAGGTTGGCCTGCCGCTCAGTTACGACCAGTATCGCCGCATGACGCCCGAGAAGCTCGTTGAGCGTCTCACGAACCGCAGCGAATACCTTCTTGCATTGCGCATAGCCGAGTATCTGCATCTGCCAGCAAACCAGATTCACGGACACTGGGCGCAACAGAAGGTGCGCGTCTCGACGGACCCAGAAGAGGAGATTTGCAGTCTTATAGTTAAGAAACTGCATGGCAAGCCTGGTGTCTCATTCGAAGAGATCGCACGGGCGGCCTACGATGAAGGTCGCGTGCGATTGGCGACCGAACTCCTCAACTACGAACCCAGAGCCGGCAAGCAAGTACCGCTGCTACTCAACATGAAGGAAGACAACATTGCGCTCGACAAGGCGATCGAGTCGGGCGATACCGATCTCATCTTCCACGTTCTCCTACACCTACGCAAGAAGCTACCTCTTGCCTCCTTCTTCCGCGTCATCAACAGCCGCCCGGTCGCCACAGCTCTTGTCGAGTCGTCAGCCTGGGATCAGGATCGCGAGCTGCTGAAAGATCTGTACTACCAAGACGACAGGAGATTAGACGGCTCAAACCTCCTACTGTCCGAAGCAATCGCACAGGAAAGCCATCCGGCCCAGCAAGACAAACTAAAACTGGCATCAAAGTACCTACAGGATTCTCGCGACAGCGCTGCCGTCTTCCAGCGCCAAGCTATCGACGATGCTGCCAAACTGCTCCGTCTCCAACACCAGTTCGAAACAGACCTCAACGGACCGAGAGACCCAACACCCGCAGGCTCGCTGCCAGGCCAAACATACATTGGCCTTTCAGCAAACGAGACAATCTTCCAACTCATCCGCCAAGGCCACTACAAGCGCGCCCAAAAAGTGCAGTCAGAGTTCAAGATCAACGACAAGACATACACATACATCCGCCTCCGCGCCCTCGTTGCAGCACGGCATTGGAACGAGCTGGAAGAATTCGCGAAGCAGAAGAAGAGCCCGATCGGCTGGGAGCCCTTCTTCAACGAGGTCCTCGGTGCGGGAAATACCAGAGTGGCGAGTGTGTTTATCCCCAAATGTACGACTTTGACGGTGCCGGAAAGAGTCGATATGTGGATTAAGTGTGGGTTGATGGTTAAGGCGGGTGAGGAGGCGTTCAAAGCCAAGGATAGGGAGCTGTTGCAGGAGATCAGGGATAAGGCTGATGGGAGCACGGCGATGGAATTGGAAAGGTTGTTGGGTATGTTGCCGCAGGGGAAGAGGTAGGCGGTTGATTCTGTGGTCGGGTTATGTAAACGAACGGCGCAGTGGTGGATATGAATATGGGCTGGTGTATAGTAATCATTCACGTGTATTAAGTCTGGATTGTTGCTGATATGTCCTGCATAGAGCGCGAAATACTCTTGAGCGGCTCCTCTTCCCAGCTTGCGACAGCAAGTGGTATAAGAAATCTGTCTTTATACGAAGAGCTTAGAAGGCTACATTAAGCTGAGTGTATAAGCAGGTGAGCATCATGAAACAGGTAGAAGGCTGCATTCAGTTGAATATACAGACAAGTGCATATCATTAAACAGGTAGGAGACTACAATGCCCATGAGCTCTCTCAACTTTCTCCCTGTATCTTGTCGTAGACTGTAGTATATCAGAAGCTTCATCAATTCCTGCTCGATGTTCTAATTGTACGCGGTAAGACCCACTCGCACAACCTATTATCTAGCCTGCTCCTTCTCGTTCTCAAGCTCCCTTTCCAAGACATCGGGACGTGGAGGCAGGCACACCCGGCAAATCCCCGGGCCGCTACTTCTTCGGGGCAAAAACACACTAGCGTCAGCCATGTGCAGAAGACCGACCCGCAGTGGCTGCGAAAACGACTCGCTTCCCCGCAATGACTAGGATAGGTACCGGGGCTAGGTGCAGGCTCCGCGATCTAATGAGGAATTTGTCGCTCGACGTCGTCATCTCGGTGTGTACTCATCCGAACAGCCTCCAGATCTTCAAATCGGCAAATGAGTGTGGGAATCGAAATGGGGTCATGGCTTTGGCTATGGTACCGGGAGACGGCGGGAGGGAAAGGTACATAAGCCTTGGATCGTCGAGAGCTTGAAAGGGTTGTAGGATTGGAGATTTCGGATCCGGTCGCCATACACGCAAACATGAGGTTCTCCAACTCTCTAGTCAGCCTCGCGGCTGTCGTACCTGTCGCGCTCGCATCGATACCTTACTCGCAATACATTCTCGCGCCCAAATCACGAACACTCCACCCCGTCTCCGTGCACAGCACAAACGGATCCGTCACGCACCCCGAGAGCCTCACCAGCGCAAATGGCAGTTCCGTCTTCACCGGCGACGCAGCAACAGCCTACGACTTCGGCATCAACATCGCGGGTCTCGTCACCGTAACAATCGGTTCCGTCAACTCGTCCTCCTCCGAATACATCGGCGTCACCTTCTCCGAAAGTTCGTTATGGGTCAGCAACCGGAGCAGCGATGCGACGGCCGATGCAGGAAAGGACGAGACCCTCTGGTTCCATGTTAATGGTACGGGACGGTATACAGCGCCGAAGGAGAAGGTGAGGGGTGGGTTTAGGTATATGACGTTGGTTCATAATGGGACGGGGAGTGTGGAGGTGACGGGCGCCGAGGTGCATTATACTGCTATGCCGCATTGGGAGGGAGATGCGCTGGGGAATTATACGGGGTATTTCCATTGCGACGGTATGTCATTCATTATTTGCTTGCTTCTGTCGCTCAGGTAGAAAGACTAACGTATTGCAGATGAGCTGCTCAATCGCGTATGGTATGCCGGAGCGTATACGAACCAGATCTGTACGATTGAGCCAGATACCGGGAATGCGCTCGTTCATCTGCGCGAAGAAGGGTTCTCGAGTGAGGACGACCAGTCGCCGGTTAATGTTACTTGGTACAACAACTATACCATTACTAGTGGCAAGAGTGCGCTGGTTGATGGTGCAAAGAGGGATAGACTTGTTTGGGCTGGCGGTACGTTGATACCTCTTTCGTTACCGAATGTATACTGACAGACATTGGTAGACATGGCGATAGCAGTCCCTGGTGTCGTGGTATCGACGAACGATGTCGTTTCCATTGAGAACGCATTGGACTCGCTCTTCGCGGTGCAGAACGCGACGAATGGTCTACTCCCATATGCTGGAAGGCCTTTCCCTCCTCAGGCGATATCGTTCACGTACCACCTCTACACTCTGATCGGTGTCGCTGACCACTTCCTTTACACTGTAAGACATCCTGATCGAATCCTCCACACTCGCTGACCATCTCTCCAGGGCGACATGGACTACCTCAAATCCTTATGGGACAAGTACAAGTTTGCCCTCTCCTTCTCCCTTTCCAACATCGACTCCAGCGGCCTCATGAACGTGACTGCGCCCAACGACTGGCTCCGCTTTGGAATGGGCGGCCACAACATCGAAGCAAACGCCATTCTATATTACACCATCAACCAGGGCATCTACCTCGCCTCGGCTCTGAATGACACAGCCAACATTTCCTCCTGGCAAGAAACTGCTGATGGTATCAAGACGGCCGCCAACGAACTTCTCTGGGATGAGCAAGAGGGCATGTACCGCGACAACGAAACGACAACGCTGATGCCCCAAGACGGAAACGCCTGGGCTGTCGTCGCGAACCTCACATTGAACAGCACGCAAACGAGTATGATCTCACAGAATCTGGTTTCCCGATGGACACCGTACGGCGCTCCTGCCCCCGAAGCCGCAGACGCCATCTCACCCTTCATCTCCGGCTTCGAACTGCAATCCCACTTCCTTGCGCAGAACACGACCGCGGCATTGGAGTTGATGCGCCTACAATGGGGCTTCATGCTCGACGACCCACGCATGACAAACTCCACTTTCATCGAGGGATACAGTACAACCGGCGAACTCCACTACGCGCCCTACAACAACGACGCGCGCATCAGCCACGCCCACGGATGGGCAACGGGACCGACATCCAGCCTCACGCAATACGTAGCCGGTGTACAGTTACTCACCGCGGGTGGAGCAACATGGCGCATTTCGCCTTCACTCGGTGATCTTAAGTTTGCGGATGCGGGCTTCAGAACGAGTTTGGGTTTCTTTGGCGCGAGGACACAGGTTCTGGACGATAGCATAATGTTGGACTTTGAGGCGCCGGAGGGGACGGTGGGAGAGGTTAGGATACCGGTGCTGGAATGTGCGGGACGGGTGGTTATGAGTGGAATGGAGGGGCTGAGTGGAGATGTTGTTGTTGAGGTTATGGCTGGGCAGGGGGATGTGGATGTCAAGGACGTCAAGGGTGGGAGGTGGACGGCTACTTTTAGGTGTACTTGAAGAGTAGATGTATGAAGATCATTGAATGTCCAACGATTCCGGTATTGAGATGAGCAATTGAACCGCTATAGTATGTTTGTGGTCGGTGCCACGATACGCGGCTCACATGTCCAACTACCCTGGTGTAATCCCATCTTGATACGGAACAGCCTCCGTGAACACGAGAGGTTTGCTTCTCCTCGGCTTCAGCAAAGCGCAAAGCAGGTTGCGAAAGGCCCATACACGAACTGCGTTAGAGCGCGAGAACTATTACACGCGCCTATATGAGGTCGACATAGCAACGGGTATGGAAAAGAAATCTCAGCTGCCGGGAAGCGGCAGAGCTGAGGTTGGTGCAGGATACTTTTCTGGGTCCGGACTATCAGCGGATAAGAAACAGGGAACCATCGGCCCACTACTACTAGAGTCCTTCACCAACAGAAATCCTTCACGATGGCATGTTGAACACAGACTCGGTACAGTAAGCCGGATAGTTAATCGTCGAGCATTGGACATGTTTCTCCAGGGTAGTGGTGTCCTGTCAAAGTCTAAAGGCGACCAGGCGGCCAGGCAACGAGGCAACAAGTCTCGAGTAGTCCAGGTCAGCATATAGCACGGGTATAGCCAGCTGGGAATGTAGCAAATACCGGTCGTGTTGACATGCAGATTACCAGCACCATCCATGCTGTACCGCCTACCCCGCGCGTCTGAGTGGCGGAGGGCGATCGTGTGAAACGAGGCGTTCTCGTGATGGCGCGCTACATGGACGCGCCCGGGACGTCGCTGTGCCAACGGCATGCTTGGCGCATTGTTCCAAAATAGTGTCGCGCAAACCACTATGACCACCCGCTTGACTCTGATCTGCGGCCCATCCCCAGCATTGCATCACTTGCGTCTTGTGTATACACATCTCGAGCATTGCTTCCTTGCACCGGCCTGGCATACAAGAAGAGTGCTGTTTGAGCCATTCCCTCGTTTTACGCCTTCTCCTCCTGCTCGGCCTCTTGCGACCGCCTGCATCTCGCTTCCCCACTACTATCCACTACCACGTCAGAGTCAGGACTCATCACACCGCATCCCATTGCTCGCGCAAAGTTTCTCCGCCCCACTGGACGCGGTCACATTGCATGCGCGTTTGAGCCTCGCATCTCGCTGGCGGGTCTGCAGCCACCATGGACACGAGCTACCTCGCCCAGCAGGTCACGACCATCATCGGCCAGCTGCACGGCTTGTTCGATGACATTGGCGTCCCCAGCCATGAGCGCGACTCGCGCGAAGCAGAGGTGAGAGAGGGTGAAGTATATGCGCGCGCGACTGCTGACTTTGTCTAGTTGTTCTCTGCTCTGTCCGAGACGCTCCACAACCAATTGCGACAGGTCACCAACGAGAAACATGAGATGACAGAAGAGGCGCATCGCCTGCTCAAGACTATTCGCCAGATGGAGGCTTCGCTCGATGACAACAAGCCCAACCCCAACTACGACGACCAGGACGACCGGGCCATCACCTTCCCCTTGACGCGCTGCCTCCAGGGCCTGAAGGAGCGATACAACTCGGTCAGCAAGATGCACAAGGAGCGCTTCGAGCAGGTCAGGAAACTCGCCGAAGCCCTAGAGTCGTATGCGTCGCATCTCGAATCGTCCTTCGTCCAGGTCAAACTCCCGCCCACGGCGCCCAACGCGAAAGTCTCACCCTCCTTCGACATCTCGCCCTCCTACGTCACCAAGCTCGACAACGAATTCACACGCGTATACGAGGAATACACAAAGCGCCTAAACACGGTTCAGGTCATCTGCCAGGAGATTATCCAGCTGTGGGCAGAACTTGGCACACCACAAGCGCAAACGGACAGCGCAATCGTGCAATGTCATCGCGACGCGCCTGAACAACTCGGTCTGCACAAGGACGATCTTGCGCAGTTGAACGCGAAGAAGGAGCGACTCGTCGAGGAGAAGCGCGGTCGCGAACGCCGGTTAGGGCAGTTGCGCACAACCATCGAGGAGCTTTGGGACCGCCTGGGTATTGAAGAGCGCGAGCGCAAGCAATTCCTCACCAGCAACCGCGGGTGTGGCCTGCGCACCATCAACGAGTACGAGGATGAACTGGCCAGATTGAACGAGCTCAAGCGCCAGAACCTACACTTGTTCGTCGAGGAGGCGCGCGTTCAACTGCAGGAACTATGGGACGCCCTTTACTTCTCCGAAGAAGAGATGCTCGACTTCACACCCGCCTTCTCCGACGTCTGCAGCGACGCTCTACTCGCCGCCCACGAATCCGAAATCGCACGTCTCGAAGCGCTCAAGGAGCAACGGCTGCCTATACTTCAAAAGATCGATCGCCACCGCGAGCTGATTCAAGAACGCGATGAGCTTGCACAATCGAGTCAAGACGCGACCCGCCTGATGGCGCGCGGCAACAAGGGCGAAAGGCGCGACCCGGGCAAGCTCCTGCGCGAGGAGAAGATGCGAAAGCGCATTGCAAAGGAGCTGCCCAAGATTGAAACAGTAAGTCACCTTAGTCAAGCAGCAGGAACTGAGCTAACACATCACAGGATCTGAGAGTTACCCTCGAAAGCTGGGAAGACGAATACGGACGTCCTTTCCTTGTCCACGGCAACCGATACCTCGACGAACTATACGCAGCCGCGCAAAAGGCAGCCCCACCACCTCGCGCAAAGACGCCCTCGAACAGCGGTATGCCTACCAAGCCAGCCACGGTTGGCAGAGCCTCAGCAGCGCCTAGCCGTGCCGGAACAGTTCGTGGTGCGCCACCCAGCCGATCAAAGACTCCCGTATCGAACTTCGGCCAGAGCGTATCCGCAGCAAGCATGTCCCGTAGCACTTTTGCGCAATCGGTGGGCCCCAACTTTGGTGCTTCGGTATCGGCATCGGCCCAAAAGAGTCCTTCCAAGATTCCTTCTCGTGCTGGACTGAATGGTACAACAAACGGCAGGAGCTCGCCTGAGAAGCGACCACAACTCTCACGAGAAGACTCGGCTACGATGCGCAAGATGGCGCCACCCATGGCTCCTCCGCCTCGTATGAAGGATCTGTTCGTCCCTCCAGAGCCATCACCAATGGAGACGCCGATGAACCGCTTCGAGTTCAACCGTGGAGACCGCAGTGAAAGCATCGTGCGCAACGTACAACCAGAGGACCCATACGACGACCGCTCCTTCATGGGACGCACCATGAGAGGAGGCTACACACCCACCTACCCACCGCCATCACTATCATCCGCTAGCAGCCGACAAATATCACAAACGTCGTCCACAGGTACCGCCGCTACAGGCATGACCATGCAATCCGGCTCCGAAAACTGGGAAACGTTTAGTGAACAGTCCGACGAGGTACCGGAGGAAGAAGTCGACTTTCAAGCCTACCGGCGGCAGATGAAGCGCTACACACCCGAGGGCGGCCATGTTGCCAGCCCAGGTCGTATCCAGGGCAAGAAGGTCCGCGGTATACGGAGCGTCGACACGGGCGAACTGTTAACCGAGCAGGACGGCCGCATGGTACGCGTTATCGAAGGCTCAGAAGCGGGCTGGACGACTGACGGCGACGGGTACTGAGTAAAGTACCCTATCCACTTGGACACTTTCTTCTCATGTCGACACGACTGCATGGCTTTCATGCTCCACGACGCTTATACCGCCACGGCCGTTCATCACTTTCCGGCTCACCGAGCCCTGCTAATTGCTCTTCCTTAATTCGTGTGTGCATACTTTGCGGCTCGGCGTTACTGGACCCTGAAAATTTTCTCTTCTTGTCGACTCATCCTCGCTGCCGCAACGGCACGCACAAGCGGGCTGGGATACTCGCCACGTACTCTGCGTTGGACAGGGTAGTGCGCTGCATGTCACTTCCCGCAATGCGACCGGTGCGGCGCCTGTTTTGGGTAACGCAGCATGTACCTGCCCAGGTGGCTCTTTTATTTCTTCACATCACTTGCTTCTTTTTCAGCGGTAGGGTGGTGGATCATCCGGCGTTGGCGACCTCGGAAGCGTATATCTGGATAGCGCGCCATGCGCTACCTTGCTTGTGTCTCGTTTGCGCGTTTTGCATGTTCAAATTTCCCTTGTGCGAGGATGAAGCGAGAGAAGTGTGCATAAGGCATCCTCTCTGTGAGTGGAAGGCAGATCTGTGTGTTGGCGAGGAGACGTGTACTATTACGATTGAACAGAATCCAGAACATTGCAAAAACTTGTGCGACTATGCCGTGACTGATGCACGAGGATGCCGAAATTTGTGATGCATTGGACGCCTACACAGAAGTAATATACCATCAACTTTATTACATACTACGCGTAGACGAATACACACTCATGTATCCAATGCCTTGATTAGCGAAAGGCGGTCACGTAGGCGGCAAGCAACACCAAGTCGTGCCTTCCTGTGCGAGTAAAGATGATTGACATGAAACAATGCAAGCGCACAATGGCGGGTCAGTGCCGAGGGCCAAGACGATCACGGGAAGCTTGGGTGCACGATAGAAGGTCACTCCGTTCCTTCCTCTTTCGCACAAGAGATCCCTTAAGCTCGAAGCAGCAGGTGCAGTTACCGTGACAGAGCTCTATTATGCAAGGCCGTTGGGGAGCCTCAATCTCGAACTAAATTCTCACAAGGACACGTGCCTTTCGTTCTGCCTACCGTGAACTACTCTCCAAGGCCACGACATGACGACAATGACGAAGTTGGTGTCCAGAAAAGGGCCGGTATGGGAAGTGTGTAGAGTGGCACAGTGGGAATAGACTTTCTCTCCACTCCACATCCACCATGCTTTTCTTGCTCGACAGTGGAGGGCAGCGGGCATGCACCCCGCAGGAATCCGCGGCCTAGCGTGCGAGACGGCGCCGGGCTGCACGACACATGGTGGAAGTGGTTAGATGGAGTTAGAGGCAGGTAGCGAGATATTGGCACAGAGATAAGGATAGCACATCTGACAGGCCCGGAGCGATTCCACACAAGCCAACCGTGACCGGAAGGCAGGCAGGCATGCGACCGTCTTGCCGCGGGGAGCGC